CCATCAAGACATCCTGACCAGTCTGCATCACAGAAACCTGCAAGATTATGATTAGTATGCTTGGTATAGGACAACCCATATTCAACTGTACCTTTGACGTATTTGATAATATGTTTAACTGCATTTAGATGGGATACACGTAGACAGGCTTGGTAACGGGCACACAGACCAACACTGTAACACAGGTCTGGTCTGCTAGCTATCAGATACAGCAGACTTCCGATTATGGCTCTGTAGAGTTTCTGATCAACATCCTGACCATCTTCATCAATCTTGTTCTTGAATATCCACATTGTGCCCACAACATTTATCTGTGCAGGTCGAGGTACCAGATCCCACACTTCATTTTTGGAAAACTGATTTAGTTCCTCTGTACAAGTACCATACCAGAATTCATATTCAAGAGCTGCAGCAATATTCTTGGGTTCAACTAAACACACAAAACACGAGTGCTGCAGCATTTCTTTGAAGTTAAGCTTAACACCTCTGGTCGTTCTTTCATTCAGATCTCCTATCACATCAGCAGCTGAATGATACTTATGAACAACTAGTTTCTTTGTCGCAAAAGGTGCAACAGGTGACTGAGCCTCAGATGATACTTCTCTGTCATTGACTTTTTCTTCAAGAGTTGTTTCAGGTGCGTCTGCTGCAGGTGCTTCTGCAAACTCGTCTGCTGTAGGTGTTTCTGCAGACCCGTCTGCTGCAAGTGCTTCTGCAAACTTGTCTGCTGCAGGTGCTTCTGTAGAGTCGTCTGCTGCAGGTGCCTCTGCAGAATCGTCTACTACAGGTTCTTCTGCAAACTCGTCTGCTGCAGGTGCTTTTGCAGAGTCGTCTGCTGTAGGTGCCTCTGCAGACTCGTCTACTGCAGGTTCTTCTGCAAACTCGTCTGTTGCAGGTTCTTCTGCAAACTTGTTTGCTGTAGGTGCTTCTGCAGACTCGTCTGCAGGTGCTTCTGCAGAATCGTCTACTGCAGGTTCTTCTATGAACTCGCCTAGCACAGGAGGTAACAGATATCTATTTTTGTCATCAAAGACCACATTGACGGCATCTCCAATGTCCTTAGTTCTCTTGTTGTACACTCTGTATGCTGGGCTGTTCGTAGAGTATCCCAAGAAAATTCCCTCATCACTTCTAGAGTCGCATTTTCCAAAGTGCTCCTTGTCATTAAGAATATAACACACACATCCAAATACACGAAAATGGCTCAGATTCAGACTTTTTCTCTTCCATATCTCGTATGAAGTGATCTTTGTGCCAGGTTTTACATAAACCATGTTGACAATGTAACATGCTGTGCTAACTGTTTCTTCCCAGAAACCTTGAGAGATGTTATTACCATGTATCATAGCACAAGCCATTTCCTGCAGTGTTCTGTTTTTCCGTTCAACAACTCCATTCTGCTGAGGTGTTCTGGGTGTTGAAAACTGATGTCTGATTCCTTGAGTTTTACAGAACTGTTCAAAAATCTCATTCTGGAATTCTCCTCCATGATCACTTCTTATCTGAATGATCCTTCCCTTTTCATTCTGAAGCTGTAGGGCAAGAATCTTAAAGCTTTCCACTGCTCCAGACTTCTCTCTTAGGAACCGAACCCATGTGTACCTTGAAAAATCATCTACCAACACAAAGATATACTTCTTCCCATTGATACTTTCCACTTGTACTGGACCCATGAGATCCATATGAATCAGCTCAAGTACCTTTTTAGTTTCAATTTCAGGTACCTTCTTATGATTGACCTTGATCTGCTTTCCTTTGTTATATGCACTGCATACATACTCCAGTTTGTCAGCCAGTTTTGATACACCTCGAACCACTCCAGCGTTCACAATCTTAACCAGACTCTGGACGTTCATATGTCCAAGTGTCTTGTGCCACAGCTCCAGATCATTTATAGACGCAGACAAACAGACATCTGATGCCTTCCACATGTAGCAGTTATTCCCAGAGCGAACCCCACACAGTGCAGTGTTTCCATTCTTATCACCAGCTTTACAGTCAGTTCTTGTGAAGATAACTTTCAGACCATCATCGCACAGTTGACTTATGCTGATTAGATTAGCTTTCAAGCCTTCAACATAGAACACATTTATTAATGATGGTTGATCATCACCTTCAATGTTTCCTTTGCCTTTTATGGATCTTTTACCACCATCTCCAAATGTTATTTTTTCGCTGGCCTCTTCTGTGAAGGTTGACAGAACACTCGGATCACCTGTCATATGTCTTGAACAGCCACTGTCAAAGTACCAAGGGTTACTTGCAGTTCCATCTGTAGATGTGTAGGCTACCTTTGCTGTGAGACTCTCATCTTCATCAGACTCATCAAGTTGTGCAATGGTCACATTACAGATCAGGCTGATTCCTTCAAATTCAGCAACTGCTCTGTTGTACTTCTCTTCATCATGCTCAGGATCTTTATTGTAGAGATCTCTCTTGCGAACCCAGACTTTACAGAACTTAGAAGGTTCAATAAAGCATTTACGTGCATGCCACAATTGCTTGATCTTGTCTTGAAACTTGTAACACGACCTTCTGATGTGACCTGGTTTTCCACAATAGAAACATTCAAACACTTTTCGACCTCTGTTTGACCTGGTCCACTTCTTTCTGGGTGCAGTCTTTCTTGGTGCAGTCTTTCTGTATTGTACACCCGTATTCTGTGGAGCATTCTGATTCACCTTCCTGGGCTTCTGTTTCTCTTCCACTTGAGCTTCTTCATCATGATAGGTTGTACTCCTCACGAATTGAACTGTCTTTGGCATATCCAGAGATGCTTTGGGAGCATATGACTGATAGCCCAATCCTCTATGACTTGAACCAACTATTCCCATGGACAGAATCTGATCCAGATTTTTGCCACCATTATTCAGCATTCTGATCTTCTTGTGGTTCTCACTCAGTTCTCTTTCCAACATTAGAGCTTTTTCTTTCTCCTTTTCATAGCTCTCAAGTAAGCATTTTATTTTCTTCTCAAGAAACTCTTTTTCTGACACAGGTAGCTTTTCGCCAATTTTTTCTTCCTTCACTTCTTCTTCCAGCATGTTCACCTGTGCCACCAGCATCAGATTTTCCTTAGTGAGCTGCAGCTTATCATTGCTCAGAGAGATCCAGCTGTCATATAGAGTCTTGTAGTCGTCACTGGTGATCTCATTTCCATCATCATTATCTGAATCAGAATCCTCACTGGAGTCATTCTGATCTTTTGCACTGAATGCCACAAAATTCAGCATAGGTTCAGCTTCACCATCACTATCTGATTCAGACTCACTGAAGCTCAACAAAGATTTCTCTTTACCTTTCTGTGCACTTGGACATTCTGATTTTACATGACCAAATCCATTGCACTCATAACACTTCAGCTCCTTGCGTCTTGCCACAGGACATTCAGGTCGAGTATGTCCTATACCTCCACACTCGTGACATTTCAGATCACGTTTCCTTCCTGATGATTCGCTCCTTACAGGCCTGCTGTCTGACTTTTCAGCATCACTTCTGTTCCAGCGACTGATCTCTCTTGTGTCCCTGTTGTCTCTGTCCTTACCTTTTTCAACCTGTTTCAAAGCTTTTCCGAAATTTCTGGCCATGAGAGACAGATTGTCTCTGATTTCTTGCAGCGGATCTGGACCCTTTTCTTCATCAGCTTTGAACGTTATTCCTTTGTTCTGGTTTCGTTGATCTTCAGCAACTTCCATTTCTTCAGACTTTAGAATCCCAACCAGATCTTCATATTTCAGGGTATCTGTATTTCCTGAAACTCTCATGACAGCTTTGTGTGCAGCGTATTTTGGTGGTAGGCAACGAAGCATCTTCTTCACCAGCTTTTTCTCCTTGTACGTTTTCCCTAATGATTTTGCTTCGTTTGCAATCCCACTCAGCTTAGAACTGAACTGAACAATTGTTTCTGAAGGATCCATCTTCAGATTTTCAAAGTCTATAGCCAACTGGTCCAGCCTGGTGCGTTTTACACCAGTGTTGCCCTCATGGGTTTTCTGCAGAATATCCCACATCTGTTTAGCACTCTCACTTCCTTGAACCAGATTGAATTCATCATTATCAAGGCATGAATAGATAGCATTCATAGCCCTTGCATTGAACTTGGATAAATTCTTTTCTGCATCAGTCCAGTTAGCTTTTGGTTTCTTCACTTTCAGACCGTCTTCTGTTGTGCTGAACGGAGGTTCCCAGCCATCTTCAACTGCAGTCCAGGCGTCCTCTCCTTGTCCTCTGATTAACTGCATCATCCGAGTTTTCCAGTGACTGTAGCCTCTGTGATCCAGCATCACCGGTCTGTTGAGTTCTGCCTTCGACATCTCTAATCTGCAGGATCTTAACCTGTATTGAGTTAATACTCAGGTCGGTCACCCGCTCTGATACCAAGTGTTATTATATAGATGTTGAGGCAATTGAAAAGAACTTCTTTTCCTTTATTAAGAATCACTTAAACAATCTACAAGATATGTTTAATCAGATTTACACGACGTTGACACAACTCGTCACTGACCAATTCTTAATCTACCCAAACTCACAACACAGCAACAGCTATGCATACACTCTGTTCACTCACCAAGAACCCTAACAGCTTCTAGCCTAGTACTTGAGATTCACAGAGATATTCTAAACGCCCACCTAAACCTAAAGTCTAGACTGCGAATATAAAGGAAGCGTCATAGACAACTTTCCTAATCTTCAGATCACACCAAATCTTCTTTCCTTGATTTGATCGCATCTTCAATACACCGAATAACTTGAGCATCACGTTCTGGAAACTTCCAATCACCAATCACTGCTCGCCACGTCATCTTCATTTAATGTCTCGCAGTTTCCCGCATACAGCTCTCTCCTGTGCTCCACAGGATCTTCCTGTAGCCCGACATCCATATGTCTTCAGAATTGTCACGAGTTTCGGGCAGCATTCGTTTACTGGTTTTGATGTTTTCAATTTCAGAGAACTTGAAACCTTCTGCTTCATAGCCTCCATCTCCATCTGTGAGGTGATTATCGTCGCCTCCAGTTTCGTTATAATCCACTTCCCTGCTGCTACTCTTAGTTTCATATATGTCCACTTCGTCAGGTTATCTCTGCATATGGATTCCATGGAATGGGAGAGAAGGCAATGGAGCTATTCAAGGAAATGAGTAGTGGTAACTCAGTGATGGAACATAACAAGAGCACTTTCATAAGCCTATTGTCAGCTTGTAGCCACTTTGGGTTAATAAATGAAGGTCTAAGCTATTACTACCAAATGGAGGAAAAATTTGGGGTTAAACCAGTTACCGAACATCGGGTTTGCATTGTTGACATGCTTGGCCGGGCAGGGAAGCTGAAAGAAGCTTATGAGTTCATCACAGGGATTGGTGAGCCACAAAAAGCAGGTGTGTGGGGAGCTTTGTTAAGCGCTTGTAACTATCATGGGGACACAAAGTTGGGAAAAGAATTTGCAGAAGTTTTGTTTGAAATGGAACCAGACATTAGACAATGCATCTTATTACATCTCGTTGGCTAATACTTATGTTGGGTTGGGAGGCTGGGATGAAGCTGTACGGCTACGGGAGATGGTGGAGGATAATTCATTGAAGAAGCTTCCTGGTTACAGTGTTATTGACGTTAGTGTTGGATAGTGCTTCTTGAAGTTTTCCTATATCAGTTATTAGTTTAGAGAGGCTGTGTAAGAAGCAAGAAAATAATATAACAACAATAGATTCTGTATAAAATCCAAAGTTATAACAGCACAGTCACAGTAAATGTTGAAATCAACAACTCAGGAAGTACAAAAGCCAAAAAAAGGTTACAGATTCTGAAACTTTTATTGCTCAGTTAATAAAAGCTGTGGGCAAAAAAAAAAAACAAAGAAGCAAAACTGATGAAAAAACAATCAAAAGCTTGACTACAACTTTTAAGAACTTCCGAAGCCAACAACTAAAGCCAGTTTTTTTTTGATGTTTTCATCTCCATTTCCATCTTCGCTGCTGCTACTCTCAGTTTCAAAGTTGTCCAATTCCCTGCTGCTGCTACCCTCAGCTTCCTCTGTCATGTTGCTACCCTCAGCTTCCTCTGTCATGCTGCTACTCTTTGCTTCATAGTTTCCATCTCCATTTCCATCTGTGTGGTGATTGAGCATGCTTAGGATAGTTTCGTAAAAATCCAATTCGCTGCTGCTACTCTCAGTTTCATAGCAGTCCACTTCGCTGCTGCTACACTCAGTTTCAAAGCTGTCCAATTGCCTGCTGCTGCTACCCTCAGCTTCCTCTGTCATGATCTGTACACCACACTCAATAATCTTGTCATCGCCGAAATCGCAGCTGAACTCAAATATAATCTCGCTCATGGTCACATCGGCTTCATGGCATTTGTTTCCTTGGGGAAACAAATCACCATGAAATATAAACAGATGTTCTGACCGAAAAGACAAAGACAGATATTTAAACTCGCAGCTATGAACTGTAACACCTCCTTTGCTTCTTATACTACAGCTTACATTTTCATATCTGCAGACCTTAACTGGGAAAATGAGAAGGCAGAGAGAGTACCCGGAGCCAGAGGGATGGTTATGGATCTCCCTGTAGCTTTGTGAGTGAACTCTGCAGGGATTTCTATACCTGGTAAGCATACATAATCGTAAATTGATTTTTGTATGATTCCTCTTCTTGCTTCTTCATCCAGTTTAAAACAGTTGTTGAATTCGAGTCTCTTGGTTGGGTTATGGAAAGAGAAGCATACTCTCTTGAGTGATACACAATCGTTTGCTTCTAGGAGATGGAGGGAGGGGGGAAGACCCGGAATTGACTCGAGTTTTGTGCAGCTTCTGACAGAAAGCCATTCTAGACGAGTGAGACCTATGACGCAATCTGGAATCGTCTCTATATCACTGTATTTAAGAGTTAGGCTAGTTATAAAAAGTGGTACATGTGTCAATTTCTTGAGGCTTTTGCTGCAAATGTTGAGGTAATCAAGACGAGACAAACATCCAGCAACTGATGGAGGGACATCTTCTATATCTGTATCTCCGAGATTGAGAAACTTGATGTTACTGGAGATATCTGGAAAAGTTCTCAACCGTGAGCAATCACTCATTTCGAGTCTCTCAAGAGATGCTAAGTTGATGTTGGTGGGAAGAACTTGTAGCATAGAGCAGTAGTCAACATTTAGAATCTTTAGTTTTTGTAGATTCTTAATAGAAGAGGGAAGTTCCACCAAACTTTCTCGAGATTAGTAGCATTTGAAAGATTTGGGATTTCTTTCAATTTACGGGATCGCTTCAGATCTAAGATCTTGAGATTAGGAAGGGACTGCATTTTAAACACAACAAATGAGAAATATTTCTTATTTAAATTGAATCATTAGAAGCACAAGAAAGAATATCAAATACCAAACCTGAATTCCTCCCCAGAGCTTCTCGAGATTGCTAAATGGCATACGGAGTTTCACGAGGCGTTCCGGCTGAAATTTTAAAGGCAGAATTTTTCTTGGGTAATGTTTCCAATGTAGTAACCTAAGACGAGGTAAATACTCCAAATCTTCTGGTATTTGCAAACTCCTATAGATTGTGGAATCGGAGATTACGCATTCCTTCAAAAGCCCCTTTACCTACGGAAACCTCTCCGATATTGGATGTATCAAATGATATCCCTATGACTGATCCAGTACCCTACAAAATAATATTGCCAAAGAAGACTGATGAAATTGTTATCACTAAAAATAGGCAATATACATGTAAGAACTTAAACTTACTGTTTCGGTTGTCAGTACATCACAAATCTCTTCCGCCTAAGTTAAAAATTGACGTTTCCCGGGCTCGTCAGACTGTTCATGAACTATCTGTCTACCCAATTGTTGTAGTAGATGGTGCATCACTATACGGCCATAGGTAGATTTATGCACGAGAGATTTATCGGCTAGGGTCTCTAACCCATTTCTAACATCCAAGTTACTATCAGAAAGAACAGATATCACATCATCAGCGACTTCATTGTTGAAGACGCATGCAATGTGAAGGAATAGAGATTGATTTTTCTTCGACAATCTGTCGAATCCCACTTTTAAAATGTCTTCAATTCCTCCATCAAGACTAGCTTCGATCCTAGATAATTGAAGTTCCCACACGTGCTTGCTCTGCCCACGCAAAGATTTACCCACAACACAAAGGCCTAATGGAAGATTGCCGCAAAGGTTTGCTAGCTACTTTATTGGCAAGCTCTTCAAAACCATCTGGTACAGAGCTTTGTTTGAAAGCAGAGAGACATAAGATCTCAAGAGCTTCTTCCATGGACGGAAAATCCACATGGTAGATATCTTTGATCCCATGTGCCTTCAAAATCTTCTTATCTTCTGTGGTAACGATGATCCGGCTTCCAGAACCAAACCAAGAAGGTTCTTTAGCCAATACCTCTAATTGCTCTAGATCATCTACATCATCAAGAATGATAAGCACTCTTTGATCGTGTAGCCTTTCTTTGATGGCACCTAAATGATGTATCTTCATATTCTCTTGGTTCAAAATCTTAGACAGAAGTTGGTTTTGCAACCACAACTTGGAATCATGCTCATCAACACCCATTCTGCTCTTAAGACTTCCCTTGAGGTTCCCCATAAAACATTTAAGTTGAAAAATGCTAGAGAGTTGGTTGTCTAAAGCTCTAGCAATGGTGGACTTACCAATCCCTGCAGGACCCCAAATCCCAATCATCTTGACTTCATCACTTTCCAAGCATAACAAAGAATACAAATTTGTCAAGTGAGCTTCAAGTCCCACCATCCCGTCAAAATCCTTCGACGGTGTAAGATTAAGTTTGTTTAAAACATCTGTAGCAATCTTTTGGATCATCTCTGCTTCATTAGCCCTAGCAAAAGCAAAACAAAATCAAGTTGGTGGGTCGAAATTTACAAAAAAAAAACTTGCTTGAGAAAGATAAAAACAAAATGGCGTTGGTGGGTCAAAAATTGATTGAGACATACCAATTAAGAGAGTGTTCCCCAGCAATGGTTGCGACATGTGCCAAAGCTTTGCTCCATCTCTGCTTCAATTCCTCAGTTTTCCCTTCACAAGTCTTCTCGAAAGCGCTCCCGAACTCTCCCCTCTGTTTTTTAACATCAGACGGATCAACGTCGTAAAAAATGGTCATCACAATCTGCCCTTGAGCTTCGTTACATTTCAAGATTTCAAGCAGCTCATCTAAACACCAGCTTGAAGAAGCGTACTTCTTCGAGAGCAACACAATCGAGACTCTAGATTCTCTAATCGCTTGTACGAGCTCAGGTCCGATCGTTTGGCCTCTATCGATCTTCTCATCATTGAAAGTCGTGATACCTTTGCTTGCAAAGAGATTGTGTAAATGACTAAGAAACCCTCTACGGACATCTGGACCATGGAAGCTCGAAAAGACATGGTATCTCTTGATGCAAGACAAAGAAGAAGAAGAAGCCATAAGAGATCACTATGGTTTTGAACTTGAAGAAACCATTCTTAGAATGGTATTGGGAAAGCAAGAGTTCCTTTGGTTATGAAGAGAAGAGAAATTTCTTAGAAATTTGAAAGTAAAAGAGAAAGTGTGTTTCCACGAAGTAGTCGACTACTCACTAAAGTGTGTTTCTTTATAGTCGTCACTCGTCAATGACCAATGGCTTTTTTTGTAAAGCTTGTCAATTGTCGGTGAAATGAGCACAGAGTTGAAAGTAGCAGAGTCAAGTTGTGAAAGAAGACGACGAATCAGGAAATTTCAAATTAGGGTTCTCAATTCTCAATTCTCAATTCTCAATTCTCAAATTCGACATTCCAATTCTTTGTAAATTTGGTTTGAAAATTAAACCGGGTGGTTTTAAATGGATAATAAAACCGGATTGACCTTTTAAAAGACTGATATTTGGGCCTGTATAACATTCTGAACGGGCCGAGCAGAGGTGGTTTACACATGCAACTAAAGTTTTCGAGTGAGATATGAAAGAAACGTTAATGTTTATGTACATACACATTTTTTACCTCTCGTGAACTGCTCTTATCTTTTTTTTATCTACATAGAAAATGCTAATAAGAACTCATACAAATGACCATTATCACCAGGGCAAGTTTTTTTATAAGCCCTGAGTACGTAATGCTTGTTCCCGTGCCAGATGATCTGTAGCCGGTCTCTTTGGTCTCAACTGCAAATGACAATTTTTACAAAAAGATAGAGATTTGGGATAAAACAATCAAAAACAACAGTTTGTATATATCTTTTTTGTATCGTTTCCCTTTGTCTACTTTCCTAAGAAATCGTGTGATATATATGAACTACAGATACGTATGAGGGAAATTAACAAGGGTGACTTGAATCAAAGAATCACCAACTATATATGAGGAATGAGAATTGAGGGTTGTTTTACCTTTTGTTCAGCTCGTTTTTAGGTTTTTTTCCTATACTTTTAGTGTGGTTTCTTTTTTATTTTTTATTTTTCTTGGTTTCATGGAAGAGACCTTAATTAACAGCTTCTGTTTCAGTCTTTATTAGTGTGGAGGTTGCTGCTACTATGTTTAGTTTCATAGTAAAAGAGAAGTTACCATAGAGTTACAATGGTTCTGAATAAACCATCTAGGTAGAAGAACAATGCTGCTGCTTACATTCAATAATCATGTTCTCATTATCCCAGTAAGTGAACTCGAAAGAGAACCTTGCTCGTGGTCACATCCACTTCATTGACATATGTTTTGTTGATGTGACAAGTCACCACCAAATTATCTAAAACAGATGTTC